GTGACCCAGACACTGTGGTCCGGACATATAGTCAAGATTTGAGGAGCCACTTTGGAGATGCCCTAACACTCTTATGATAGCGTGCTGAGCATAGCTCCATCTAAAAAAACAATGCATAGCTCAGCTGGCTAAGTCTCTTGTGGTTGAACTTGCCTTCAATTACTAGACTTGACATGGTTGCTCATATTTTTATTGATTTATTCCAAACTTTACAACGTTATTCTCTCATTCACATGGGGTGAGTGTGCATGCATGGATATGAGCATCTACTTCCGTTTCTATACTTTATAGTATGTTTATCCCTCAAAAATCCCTTAATATCACGATATATTTAAAGGAGAAAATGAAAACAATCAAACTCTTCTTTAGCTATGTAAACATAGTGTCGGGGGATGGACCCCGGGCAAGCAACAGAACCTAGATCCTTTCAAAAATATCAGGGATGGCAACGCCCCTCAATCCGGCTCGCCCTTGGCTGGCTTCCCAGCGCAACCCAGTCAGCTGGCTGGCGCATACTGGCCGGTTCCTAGATGACGAACAACCTCACCTCTAGAGCCCACAGGTTGCCTCTTGCTTGTTCCTCTCTTTAGCCATCCCATCACATCTGTCATGAGACTACCATGACACGTAGTCAATAGAACTCACAAGAGTTAATTTGTGTCGGAAGCCTAAGAGCGGAGCATAATCAATTTGGTCGGCGGAGCACATTTTCACAACGCAACGAGCATTAAGACACAATTTATTGCTAGGGGTATAATAAAAGAATAAAGTTACTAGGCTTTTGCATTTCTACATGTGCAAAAGTTCTATCACCTCGATGAAAACGTATCGACACATTAGAGTGGATATTAGGTGGAAGGCCTATAAAAACTATGTTTTAGTTTTTTTGGAAAAAGATATGATATGTTGAAGAGGATGTTCTACATACATGTAAATTTTAAATTGAAAAACAATTCTGTTTTCATTTGGGTGGTATGCAAAAAGAAAATTCAATAATGAATAGTGATAAGCAATACAACATCATTGTCCAAGCATATTTTTCTCTTGCCTCCTTTTTTGAAGCCTAAAAACATAATATGAATATGTACAAATAGAATTAGAAAGGAGGAGCGGAAAATAAAAGGAGACAATTATCCTATGCAAGTTTTGGGAAACATCATGCAATAAGGCTGCATCTATAGTACGACAACCTCATTCAAGATGAGTGTCAATCCATCTCTACAAGCAATCAACATTCTTTCTTTTGATTCTATGTCGAAGGTGGTGAAGATTCTGCTTTAGAAGATATTTCCGAGTACTAAGTGTAGGCACTTCCATTCTGAATATCTTGCCATTTCTTTTACTCCAAAAATTCCAGCCCCCCAGAATGATGACATCCAAAGCAATTTTCTAAGGGATCTCTTTGAAAGCTAGCAATGGAAATACCTTTCTGATAGTTGGGGAGATTAGAGACCCAAATTTTTTGAACTAATGTACAATCCCAGAAAAGATGTAAGGTTGTCTCTTTAGATTTTTCATGGCAAAATACACAATGTATACCAATTAATGTGCATTGATTTCCTTTTGAGAGGTTTGTTGTGTTGATTCTATCATGCAAAAGGAGACAAACGGAAATCTTGTGCTTGATCTAGCACCACATTTCCCGATGCATCTGGAAAACAATGTGGATGTCTCATTGCCCACCATCCATTTGTACATTTTCATTGAAGAGTAGCCATGACCCTTCCATTTATATGTCCATTTATCAAGATTCGTGGAGAGGTGATATATTGAAACTTTTTATTAATTTCATTTAAGTAACTATAAGCCTGAATAGATAATGGTGTATGAAAGTGCTCAATAAAATCAATTCAATTGGTCACATAGGCCAAGGAAAGTTTACTATTTGTGGCAATAGGGAGTATCTCAGGATATTTCTATGAGAGAGGTTTCTCCTACCATTGATCATACCAAAACATAATTGAATCTCCAGATCCAATACTACAAGTTGTCGCTTTTTAAATTCACTTAATAGTTTGAAATGAGTTCTCCACAAGTAAGATCATTCCAGTCTGTCAGTTGGAAGATAATTTGTTATAATATGCTTCTCAAGTAAGTTTCACCCATAGAAGATCCTCCCTGTTTAAAATTTTGTGAAGGTTTTATTTCAAGAGAGTTTTATTTCGGAGAGCCACATCATGAATGCATAATCCACCTTGGGATTTTGGCCTACAAACTTTATCCTAAGCAATCAAAGCAGTTCCTTTATTTTTCTTGCCCAAATACCATCTAGAAGAAGTGCCTAAGATATTTGTTAATTTGATCGGTGATGCTGGTAAGAAAAGCAAGGTACATATGAAGAAAATGGGCAGAGAGGAGGATACTAATTTAATTAATTTAAGCCTTCCATCATATGACAATAAAATGGAGCAGCCAACCAATCTTCTCTCAACTTTCTCACAAATAGGATTGAAGTCTTCAAGTTTTGGTCTGCTAGTATTGAGAGGGTGACCAAAATATGTGAATGGAAAATATCTCAGCTATCATCCTTGAATGTTAACCAATCTATGAGCTTTGTCAGGAGTGACATTGAGAGGAACAATCACATATATTTAGTATAATTAATTCCAGACCAGTTTGAGCAGCAAAGAGCCTTGACTGATTCACTGCTTGTACAAGTCGGCTTTCCACACCAAGCATTACAAGAATTGTGGCATATGCATCTAGGTGTCCGAGAAGTCAGGACATGATAAACAGGAAATGGGGATATGATCAAGTCATTATTCATAGCCTCATTCGGGACATACTGAAGCACATCAGCAGGAAGCACAAAAATTAGATGAGATAGAGGCCCCCTGTCTAACTCCTCTTTTACAGTGAAGCTGGTTTCCACAGATTCCATCAGTAAAACCGAGGAAGTGCTAGAGGAAAAAAATCAATTCCATCCAATTCAACCATCTTGCTCCAAAACTCTAGTAGTAAGAAATACCATGATTGTGTCATGCTCATTCATATCAAAGCATTTCTCGAAATCCAGCTTTGAGACCATAACTTCTTTTTTTAGACTATTGGCACTAAAATAAGAACTCAAAAGCCCAAGTAAGACCGTCATGGATGGATCTCCTTAAAAAAGCCATATGGATTTATACGCACCAATTTGAAAATTACTTTATGCAGCCTTTTTGCAAGTAGATTTTTTAAGATTTTGATGATGCAGTTAAGCAAGGACATTGGCATGAGGTCACTTGAGGTTAGGGAGTTGCCTTTCTTTGGAATCAGGGTGATAAAAGGTGTATTGATGGCCCACAAGTTAATTATTCCATGATAGAAGTCCTCAATATGCTCCTACAAATCATTTGCAAGAATATCCCGGTAGGACATAATAAAAACACCATTGGCCCATTAGGTCTAGGACCAATTTTTATGACATCATAATTTCCTATGTGGAAAAAGGAACCTCTAGATCTCTGAGATTATCGAATTTATTTAGCAAACTGGGAAGAAAGAAGGGAGAGATGGTGGCCTTAGTGGTGCCAAGCCTTTCTTTAAATGGGCTCCATTGGATTGTAGCTTTTGCATTATGATCATTATATTCCTGGCAGCATTCATCTTCAAGAACTGAAATATCTTTGTGACTAAGTATAAAAGTCGCAACCTAAATGAATGTGAGTTTGAAGTTCAGATTCCACAATTTATCAAGCATCAACTTTCTAACAAATAGTATTTGTTTAAGAATATTTAGAAGCCTTCAAAATTGGTGTTCACACGGAGTTCTTCTTATTGTAACTTGGTTCATCGGATACTTTTTTCTTTTTTGAGTTGCCATCAGACATTTTCTATGGATTATGTGAGCAGTAGGGAGGCTCTACAACTGAGTATTGTAAATGATTTCAATAGATTTTGAATCTTATTTCTCTTGGATTATTCCAAAAGATGGTACCAACAGGAAAATGAACACATTAGATTCCAAGATTCAAATTTAAAATGCTAGGCAAGCAACTACACGGGGCAACTAGATAGTTGCCTCTCAAACAAAGATCAACTAGAATTGTCCATGATTTACCTTCAAGGTTCACAGAGGACGGGGAATTATTCAAAAAATACACAATTTGCACAACTTATGATTGGGTGTCTCCAAGATGGATTTTTCTTTCTACAATTCCACGCCTTTTGGATAATTATATGCTAATATAAATAAATAAAGAAGCTTTTACTAAATAAATAAACGGGCATTGCAGAAATCAATGGATATGCTATCTCAAAGAGTTTGTGATCACTAAAAAGAATCGGTGACTAATCTTTCTTTATCCTCTCGAGAAGGCGCCCAACAGCTCATCATTTGGGAGTCTCACCGAGAGCCCTCACGCCAGACACAACAGTGCAAACAGCACGGCAATCGCAGCCCCTCCCACGCCTCTCAAAGCTGATTTAATAAATCTTAACCTCCTTCGTTGTTCCTGCTTGGAGTACTACACAGCATTGCTGGTTCTGCACCTCCGTGGCGGCCGGCATTTCGCAAGAATTGATGGGGTGCAAGTCGTGCCAGAAGCCCAAGGCGCAGCACCGCAAGGGGCTGTGGTCGCCGGAGGAGGACCAAAAGCTCCGTGACTTCATCGTCCGCTACGGCCACAGCTGCTGGAGCACCGTTCCCGTCAAGGCCGGTAAGAACTCCCTCCCAACCAAGCAAGAATTTCGAAAGGGAATTGGACAGATTTTCTTCTTGTGTACTGTATTCCCGCGAGCCTGCCAGGTTCATGCCCAGTTCCCAATTTCCCCTGCTTTGCTGTCGAGGCTCTGCAATGTACCTTGGCTCGTGGGAAGGGGAAAAGATGGGGAATTAAAATCGCCAGAGAACTGTAGACGAAGCTCTTTAGAATTCAGCAAATTTTTGCAGTGCTTTCGGAAAAGGATCCAGCAGAAATTTGTGAAATGTACCTTGGCAGGTGGGGTGGGGGCTAAATTTTGCCGTGAATTGCAGGGCTTCAGCGGAACGGGAAGAGCTGCAGGCTGCGATGGATCAACTACCTGAGGCCGGGGCTGAAGCACGGCATGTTCTCCCGGGAGGAAGAAGAGACCGTCATGAGCCTCCATGCCACACTCGGCAACAAGTAAGCATCCCAAGCACACATCACAACTCTCACCTTTGCCACCTCGCCTCCAGACCAAGTAGATTGGTGACGAGCCAAACGTCACCTTGATTATTAGCAGGCGTGATTGAATCAGAGAGTGTTTCTTTGATATTTTCTTCCCTAATTCATCTAGGAGTATCTCTTCCTCCTTTTCTAAAAAACTCTAGGGGTATTTCTTAGCGGTTCAATAAGAAGAAAAACTCTAGGAGTACTACTAGTATGCTTGCGCCAATTTGCTAGTGTCAGCAAAGCTGGCAAGCTGAGTTTTGATGGCGCAAACAAAAGGAAATGCTGATATGTCTGCCATGTAGGCCGCCTTACTTGATGGAGTTGATGCTGACACCTGCGTTCCATATCGAGGCACTCGATTGCTTCTTTTGAGTGCCCATTTGGCGATAGCGAACAAGAGCCTCGCTTTGACTAACCTACTGGATGGAAAGTTGGCTTGGTCACGGTTAACCTCTTTTTGGACAAAAAGGACTAAAGAACAGCTAAGAATCGCTAAACTTGTGTCTAATCCAATGCTTACGTTACGTTTCTAAATAGTCGTTGCAAGCAAGATAGTTTTGTCAATTCCATTTCGTACGCAAGATCATAATTAGTACCGTCCTCAATTTTGATAGTAAAGATATGTGTAGTACAATCATTTGTACACGCTTGTAGGACTAGTCAACTGTTGAGACAAATGAGCAATGATAGTGTAACAGATGCTTTGACATTGACAATCATAGCTTTATTTATATTACTGACTGTACAATAGTTTGCTTCTCTAACATGGTGAGGTTTTTTCTGTGGCGCAGGTGGTCTCAGATAGCGCAGCACCTGCCGGGCCGGACCGACAACGAGGTGAAGAACTACTGGAACTCGTATCTGAAGAAGCGCGTCGAGGGCGAGCGGTCACCAGCCAAGTCCGCCGGCTCGGACGCGCCCCGGAGCACGCCGCCCAGCGACAGCACCCGCGAACGCAACACCGTTAACCAACCGTCCATCTCCGGCTCGTCAGGGCCGCTGGAGTCGTCGCCGATGGCCGACGATTCGAGCAACCTCACAGTCCCCGGCGTTGTAGCCTCGATCCGGCCGCACACGCCCGTGCTCCCCAAGGTCATGTTCGCGGACTGGCTCGACATGGACATGGACATGGACTACGGCACCGGCCTGATGGCACCTAGCGCACTGGACGCGGCCTTCGACGGCAGCTCGGCGCAGCAGGGCGTAAGCCGCCAAGGGGGCGTGCAGGTGGATGGCATGTGCGGCGCCGTGAACTTGTTGCATGGGCTCGGCAACGGGGACATCTGTTGGGAGTTCGACGCCGATCAGATCCACATGCAGGGAGGAGCAGGATTCTGCGACGTGCTCTCCGTGAGCGAGTTCCTCGGGATCAACTAGGCGACCCCTCTGAAAAATAGAGAGTATGCTTTTTTTTTCGAAAGGAGGCTCCCCGGCCTCTGCATCAGAACGATGCATACGGCCATATTGATAAATAAAATAGGTTCAACAAGTTCTTACAGTCTTGAAATAAAAAGATAGGCTAGCTCACAAAGAGCCTCAACGTCAAAAACAAAAAGCCCTAGAGCCACAATCGGCTGGCAAAACAAAGATAAGTAAACTAATCGCCTATTCTATTACATGACCGCATGCAAACCGATTGAAGATACACCACGCTACCATCTTCCACCGGACAGATCCAGTAACCAAACGCTCACTGACCTCCGTCGGAGTGAGTAAGGACCACATACGGATCAGCGCTGTACCTCGGAATAAAACTTGCAAAAAATGAATAGTTGTTGTTCTGTTAAAAGCCAAATCATTTCTGCAGTTCCAAATTGCCCACAACAACGCACATACTCCTACACGAATGTGTCTAGCTGTATCGGACTCTATCCCAACAAGCCACGTTTCAAATAACGTATTGACCGAATTCGCAGGAGTAATGTTAAAGGCAATTTGCACAGTGCGCCACAAAACTCTCGCCAACGGGCAATCAAAGAAAAGATGCTTAATGGTCTCGTCCCGATCACAGAAACTACACCTAGTAGATCATGTCCAATTACGCTTAACCAAGTTGTCCTTTGTTAAAATGACTTGTTTATGTACAAACCACATAAACACTTTAATCTTCAAAGGAACTTTTACTTTCCAAACATGTTTGGAACTAGGAATGACACTAGAGTTAATGACATCGATATACATCGAGTTAACCATAAATTCTCCAGACATAGTAAGTTTCCAACGCAACTGAACGTGCTGATGAGCTAGCTGAACCTCCATCAGTCTACTCACCAAATGAAGCCATGCTTCCCACCTATCACCAACAAGCACCCTCCGAAACTGAATATTAAGGGGGATGGACTGCATAATCGTTGCAACTAGCGCATCAAGTCATTGAACAATACGATACATGGACGGATACTGGATTGCCAATGGCGTATCACCAAGCCAAGTATCCTCCCAAAAACGGGTATTGTTGCCATTACCAACAATAAACTTTGTTTTATTAAAGAAGGATGACTTAACTCTCATAAGCCCCTTCCAAAATGGCGAATCAGTTGGTCTCACTGTCACCTGCGACAAAGTCTTGGACTGCAGATACTTGTTACGGAGAATCTGCGCCCACGTTGCGTCAGTCTCAACTGATAACTTATACAGCCACTTACTGAGAAGGCATCTATTCTTGACCTCAAGATTCTCAATACCCAGACCCCCTTGGTCCTTTGGTCTACAGATGATATCCCATTTGGTGAGTCGGTATTTTCTTTTTAGTTCATCACTCTGCCAAAAAAACCTTGATCGGTAGAAGTTCAACCATTTCCTAACCCCAACTGGAACTTCAAAGAAGGATAAGAGAAACATGGGCATACTCGTGAGCACCGAATTAATAAGAATCAACCGGCCTCCATAAGACATAAGTTTGCCCTTCCAGCAGCTAAGTTTCTTCTCAAACCAATCTTCGATGCATTTCCACTCTCTGTTCGTTAGCTTACGATGGTGAATGAGTATACCTAGGTAAGTAAAAGGTAAAGCCCCAAGATCACATCCAAACAATTGCCTATAAGCCTCTTGTTCCTCCTTGGCTCTACCAAAGCAGAACAATTCACTTTTATGAAAGTTTATCTTTAATCCGGTCAATTGTTCAAATAAGCATAACACCAGCTTCATATTTCTCGCTTTTGCCAAGTCATGCTCCATGAAGATGTTTGTATCATCAGCGTACTGCAGAATAGACACACCACCATCAACTAGATGAGGCACCAAGCCACCCACCTGACCCGCCTCCTTTGCCCTTCCTATAAGAATTGTCAACATGTCAACCACAATGTTGAACAAAATAGGAGACATTGGATCACCTTGCCTCAGACCTTTGTGTGTCTGGAAATAATGACCTATATCGTCATTCACTTTAATTCCAACACTCCCTTTTTGCGTGAAGGATTCTACATGGCGTCACGAAGCTTCAATAAAACCCTTCGTGCGTAAGGCCTGTTGAAGAGAGGGCCATTTGACTTTGTCGTACGCTTTTTCAAAATCCACTTTAAAACAACCCCATCTAGCTTTTTCGTGTGAATCTCATGGAGCATTTCATGAAGGACCACAACCCCTTCAAGGATGTTCCTGTCCGGCATGAAAGCGGTTTGGGTAGGCTGCACCACAGCATGCGCGATCTGTGTGAGCCTATTAGTCCCGACCTTAGTAAAGATTTTGAAACTTACATTAAGAAGACAGATGGGCCTGAATTGCTCAATTCTCACATCCTCTGTCATTAGGGAGAAGGGTTATCGTTCCAAAATTCAGCTGAAAAAGCTGAAGCTGTCCAGAGAAGAAATCATTGAACATAGGCAACAGATCCCCTTTAATAACATGCCAACACTTTTTATAGAACTCAGCTGGAAATCCATTGGGGCCTAGCGCCTTGTTATTTTTCATTTGCGATATGGCCTCATACACCTCTTTCTCAGAAAAAGGAGCCGCAAGAATATCATTCTCCACCGCAGTGAGTTGAGGAACATCCTCAATCCTGGACTCAGCCAGAGACACACAGTTATCCTCTGGAGGTCCAAACAACTGTTTGTAATACTCTGTAATATATAGTTTTAGCTTTTCCTATTGTAAAATTGTTCCTTCATCTTGCTCAAGCTGAAAGATCCTCTTCTTTCTATGTTAATCATTAGTGATCATGTGAAAGAATTGAGTGTTCGCATCCCCCTGGACTACTCGCCGGACCTTAGCCCGCAACGCCCACTTCAATTCCTCTTCTCGAAGAAGTTCTTTCAGCCTCATCTCCGCGTCACGCTTGGTATGAAGCTCCGCGGCCGACAGTACTGTGGTTTCTACTTTTACATCTAGGGACTGAATAAGGGAAAGGAGCCTTTCCTTTTTGACCTTATAGATCCCGCTAAGATGCTTAGCCCACCCATGCAGGAAACTTCTAAAATGCCTGATCTTATTCTGCCAGCGCTGAAGCGCAGTCCTCCCTCTAGAATCCTTAGCCCACTCTCTTGCTACGAGATCAAAGAAACCTTCTCGTTCAAACCAAGCCAGCTCAAAGGAGAACGAATTTTTGTTTCCCAGGTGGGTGGCCTCACCAGAGTCCACAAATAAGGGCGTGTGATAAGAAAGTCCAAGGGACAAAGCCTGAACTGTTACTAACGGAAACTTTTGTGCCCATTCGACACTAGCCAACACTCGATCCAACTTCTCATACGTCGTATTTGGCAGCGCGTTAGCCCACGTGAATTTTCTACCCGAGAGCTCAATCTCTCTCAGGTCAAGACTTTCAATGATAGTATTGAACATGAACGACCACCTGTCGTCAAAGTTATCATTGTTCTTATCTTCACGCCTTCTAATGATATTGAAATCACCCCCCACCAGGATAGGAAGCTGCTCGGAACCGCAAATCCTAACGAGATTAGCCAAGAACTCGGGCTTGAGTTCGGGCTGTGCGGCACCATATACCGCAACCAAAGCCCAATTAAACCCATCGGCCTTCGAACGCACCCGAAACTTGACTGCAAAGTCTCCAATTACCACACTATGAACCTCGAGCGCATCGCATCGAACACGGAGTAAGATTCCACCCGATCTCCCTCTCGGTGGAAGGCAATGCCAATCAAACTCAATACCTCCCGACAAAGTATTTAGAAATTGTGGCACAAAATTATCTCTACCGGTCTCCAATAGAGCGATAAAATCTAAATGATGCTCGACAGACGCCTCAGCAAGAAACCTTCTTTTAGCCAAGTCCTTTAGACCTCTGCTATTCCAAAAGATTCCTTTCATAGTTCATCATGGAATTTTTTAGCCATACGAATCCTAGCACTCCTACGCACTGCGGACACCGGGTACACCTTCCATTTCCACTTGCGTTTAGAGACATTTTGACTCTGCAACCGGTCCTCACAACTAGTCTCAGAAGGTCTAACCATAACCATCTTAGAAGTATCATCCTCCTCTTCCGCCTCAGGCATGGGAGGCATAAGATCCACACAAAAATTATCTAGCACCCTGACCCCCAAAGCATCAACCTCAGAATCACTGATGGGTTTAACCGTCCCTATATTACGAATCATCTCTAAGGCCCGCTCAGCCTCTAGATCCAGAAGATCATTAACGGAAATAGAGATCTCGGTAACATTACTACCTAGTGAAACTCCTAATTGATTTGCATTTTCAACAATCTCATCATTTGAAAAATGCAGAATGGAATTAGAAGTATTAACTGGCATACCAGTAGTGACCTCAACGTCACGGAGCTTGGCCGCCCTTGTGGCGCACCGCTGCTGAATGTCGTCCACATCCGGCTGAGCCTCACTACTAGGGAAAAGCCTATACACGGAATCTTAGCAGCAGCGCGGTTCAAAAAGGAGCACTGCTGCTAACTAGTAGTAGCGCGTGTCCTGTAAACTCGCTGCTGATAAGGATTTAGCAGTAGTGCGCTCGGCCTAAAACACGCTGCTACAAATATCGACCGGCGGTGTTCACCTAACTCTAAGTAGCAGTAGCGCGGTCGCAAGAACCGCGCTACTGCTAAGTATGTAGTAGTAGCGCGCTTTCTCCGGGATCGCTGCTGGTAAATTTCAAATTGCCACACTTTTTTGTCCCAGTTAGCAGTAGCGCCGTATCCCAAAGC